GCGTGAGACGGTGAATGGCGACCGGATTTCAAGCGACGGCTCGCGACAAGGTTCCGAGTAAGGCTGTGGTGTTAGTTGCTTTGAACAACAACTAGAAGTGCGTCGGAACGAGAGAAAACAGTGGCGGCAGTGGTTACCCTCCGGTGGCGGCAGCGGCGGCGGAAAGCTAGGGTTTATATTAGGGTTTTAATATTTGAAGAAAAACAGCCTAGGAAAGTAGGCGTTGATACCATGTTGAAATTGAGGGATTGATAGGTCTGGCGGGCGGAGAATAACCACCACCCGCCAGTTAGGCGGAAGCAAAATATGTGATAACCAAAGAACAAGAGAATATAGAGAATATATTATAATGAAAGAGTACAATAGATTGTCTCTCTTAATGTCTATTCTATACTTCTATGGACCTCTATATATACTAAACTAGATACTAAATTAGTCCTAATAGGAATAGGAAACTACTAATAAGAATAGGAAACTAAGACAACTTTCCTATTATTCAACAAAGATGAAGAAGGTCGTGGTTTCTCTCTAGCAGGAAGATGAAGAACCAACAGCAAGAAGATGAAGGTCGCCGTTTCGCACAGCTGAATCTCGGAAAATGACTTCCCCCAAAAAAAGGGGGAAGTCGTTTCCCAGAAAAGTATAGTCATTTCCCTTTGACCGAAGCTTATTTTCCGTTGACTTAAATTTTCCCCCACTTGCCAAACACTGGAAACCCAGAAAATGATTTTCGGAAATCATTTTCCAGGTTTCCAAACACAGCCTTAATCTCTGTTTAACTGAATACACATTATGTTTTGGCATTGGAAATAAGGAAAATGCTATTTTCCCTTCCAAATGTTTCCATTAATATTTCCCTCCTTGATGTGGCTTATAATCATTGGGTGCTCATGAATTGGGTGACCCCACCATTAGTTAAAAAGAAAGTTAGTTGTCCAATTAGAACCATGTAAGGAGGGGAAGATTGGAGGGGTGGGTAGCATTACTCTTGGTAATAATTCATCAACAGAATATTATAAAAATGAAGTGGATTTTAGTTCACTACTTTTTCATCCCTCTTAACTATACATTTCACATGCACAGAACTTCTTAAGTTGCTATAGATATTCTCACTAAATACATATTTTCCAGGTACCGACAATATGTTTGTTCTTAAGTAAGTCATTGGATCGACCCCTAAGAGTACAGAGGGAAGCTGCCGCAGCAGCATTATCAGAGTTTTTGCGCTATAGGTATGTGTAGATCTTTGCTTGTCCTTGCCTACAAATCCAACTCCACCCCAAGCTACATATTTGGAAGATCGATGGAGTTTGCATGGAGTTGTGGCAAAGATACTCACTTGTTTGACCACTAAGATAAGGGCTAAAAGGAAAGAATACCTGTGTGTGTCAGTCAGGGAGATGGGAGTCCCTAGTATATGATTTCTTTTCTTTGTTATTTCGGATTGAATTTAAAGGGCACAATTGTTAATAGTTTCTCATTTTGTTTTCTCTTTGCTGATTCTAAAGAATAATTTCATGACTGCAGTGATGGCTTTGGTCCTCTATTGGGGCAGATGGTTGAAGCATTGTGCCGGCATGTTTCAGATGACTCTCCGACAGTGAGGCGTCTCTGTCTAAGAGGACTTGTTCAGGTATTTTGGCTCTTTGTTTTCTCCTACCAATTTTTCCCTATTGTACTTCTTTCTTTTAGACTATGACTTTTGCTGTATTTTCATTTTCACATTGAAAGAACTGTGAAATCTTATTAACTAAAATGGCCAATTTTATATACTTGATGAATGAGCAACAAATTTCCATTTGATCTTGTAGATGCCATCTATCCATGTCCTTCAGTACACTACTCAGATTCTTGGGGTGATATTAGCTTTACTGGATGATTCAGATGAGTCAGTTCAGTTAACTGCAGTTTCATGCTTATTGCTGGTAAAATCATTATATCTTTCTGTCTTAGAAACTTGGATCTAGCTTTCGTACATGGGATAAATTGGAAGGTATACTTTGTAGGTTCTTGAGTCGTCCTCCACTGATGCTGTGGAACCTGTACTGCTCAACCTTTCAATCCGGCTCCGTAATCTTCAAGTGAGTTATATACTAGCATATACATGTATCTTCTTGAGTAGTCATCTTTTGTGGCTTCACCATAGCAATGATTACATATAATGTCTTAACTGAATGACTGACATTGGTTACTTCAAAATTGCAAGATGTCACCACAATATTTTGCTTTTCTAGTTTTCATTGGAAAGTAATCTGATGTCAACTGTTTGATAGCTGTTTCTGGCAGATAAATTAAGAGCTATTTTTTGCTGATATTTCTTCATTATAAATGCTTGAAATTTGATACCAATTGAATACTTTTCTGGTAATTTGGAAAATTTTGACAATTTTGAATTGTCGGTTGCCAGCGTATCAACTATCCATAAAATAGTCATTCCCCTAATCACTTCCTTTGCTTTGGCAACAGGTTTGCTTGAATGCAAAGATTCGAGCCAATGCCTTTGCAGCATTTGGTGCACTCAGCAGCTATGGAGCAGGATCAATACTAGATTCATTTCGTGAACAGGTGTTCACTTGACTGTGATTTGATCTATTAGAAACTAGTTAAATACATTTGGTGTTTTTTATGCCTTGCTAAATGTATCTATTATATTACTTGTATTAACTGTAGAATTATGAAAAGCCTCTTTGCTTTATCCTCTTTGGTTGCATTTTAGGAGCCACCGCTTCACATATTGACTCTTAGAGCTTAACATTATCTTCCCCTCTCAGATTCATGCTGCCTTCCCACGTATGGTTCTACATCTTCATGATGATGATCTTGGTGTCCGACAAGCTTGCCGGGTAAGTTTTTTTGAACAGAAAGTTTTCTTTACATGATGTGTTTCTTGGAAGTGGAATCAACAACACAACAACTTTGTTTTACCAGAACACTTTAAAATGCATTGCTCCATTGATTGAAATTGACGCAATCCCTGCTCTTCTCAATACACATCGGTTTAGTTCAGACCATAGGTATGTGCTTATCGTATTAAATTATACTTCTTTAACATTCAATGGGGTTACATCTAAGCAGCCTTTATTTTTCAGGAGTGACTATGAAGACTTCTTGAGAGACCTTGCAAGACAACTTACTCAGTATCTTGGCCCCCGAGTAGATACTTACTTGTCAGCAATAATACAGGTTTGGCTCACTCTTGCAGAAATTTTTATTAATATCAAGAAGAAAATAAGAATATAAATAGAAACTGTTCGAGACTTCGAGTCGATTAACCACATTACACCTCAAAGAATCGCTATCAACCTGAAAACTAACATTACACCTTAAAGAATTGCTATTCAACCTGAAAACTATCCATCAATAACTAGTACAATGAACTGCTCTTTGGAGGGTGGTAGAGATAAATGAACAAGTAATAGATATTGCTTACAGAAAGTTCATAAATATAGAAATCATTTCAGCTGAGAAAAAGCTTAGAATTGTTTGATTGTAGGGATTGAATGCTAAAGATCGAGTGACATTGATACGTGATTGATGCTAGATGGTTTATTTGGTTACTTTATGCATTTTGCAAAAATATTGGGTGGTTTTTGGTCAATCATCAGATTTCGCTTCAATTACTTTTAAGAGCCATTATATGTTATTCAGAGTCATTGTTTTCTTGTGATATATTAACAACAAACTTAAGAGTAAGGAGCTGGAATAGGCGACCATGGTAAAGTACAGAATCACAAAATAATTGTATTTCCAAACTTAGCCGGTAAAACTTTTGGCTTGCAGGCATTTGATGCTCCCTGGCCAGTTATTCAAGCCAACGCTGTTTATTTGTGTAGTAGCATGCTTTCTCTTTCAGATAACAAAAACATCTCAGCCCTCTACTACAGTCAGGTTTGTCTGATATAACCGCTTCTCATAACTCCAGTTTTACTGTTTAACCACCGTGTTACCAGTCTGTTGACATATTTGAGTTGTCGTTAGGTATTTGGAGTATTGGTTGGCAAGGCGAGCAATTCAACAGATGCAATTGTTAGGGCGACTTGCTCAGCAGCACTAGGCCTGTTACTAAAATCGCCCAATTCAAGCTCATGGAGGGATGCTCGCTTGAACAAGTGAACTCCACAAGGATCCGTGAATTATAAGAATCAACGTGAAATGAATATAATAGAAACCGAAACCATAGTAAGGGGCATCTATCGGCTATAACTACTACGTTATTGTATGATATTGCAGTCTAACTTGAGTGCAGAATCATACTGAGAAGATTCTTGTTGGTTTAATCTCTGTGCACTTACTTGTACAGCTGCCAACCATGTATTTTGGTTTGTTCATTTTGTCTTGAAGCGCTTGTATTCTCTTGTATAGGCAATAAGAGGTGTTTATTTGTTGAAACAAGAACCGTTTGTGAGATTCATGATCAGAAATCCCCATGATGTGTTTGCTTCTAGAAACTTCATCTTGTCATCATCTTGCTAACGCAATTCTGGACTAGAAAATAATATCCACTAAAATTTGTATCATTTTCAAGTGCCACATGATTTGGCAGAGAAGTCGGTCCAAAAGATGCTTATGCATGCCCTTACGTAATCTCAATTGTTATATTATGGACCAGGGTACATTGTGAACCTTGGTCTAAAAATTATGTGTCTGCCGTTAATACATTCTGTACTTGTAGTTTAAAAATTTTATGTACTTGTAAATAAATTACAGACGCATAATATGATAACAGACAAATAGATTGTTAACTGCATGTACAAAATATATTAACTGCAGATACAAAAGATATTGGTTAACATGTTATATGTATGTAGTTAACATATTTTGTATCTATAGTTAACACTTTATGTGTCTGTAGATTTTATGTATTTGTAATTATTATGTAATGTGCCTTCAATTTGTTTATAGGTATAAAAATTGTTAATTGTAAGTACAGAATGTGTCAATTGCATGGTCTATGGTATAATTTGGCACGTAATCTGTCAGAAATTCGCACTGCTTCTGCAATTATAAAATGACTCTAAACAAGCAAGCTTGGATATCCTATACAGCAATGGCGGTCCTAAAACACGAGCCTCAGCTACATTTCGTTTTGTTTCCCTTTATGGCTCAAGGCCATATGATCCCCATGATAGACATAGCCAGATTGCTGGCACAAAGGGGAGTTAGAATCACCATTTTCCTAACACCCCACAACGCCACCAGAGTCGAGGCTGCCATTGCTCGGGCTCAACAATCCGGGCTACTTATCCAAGTTATCCACCTTGTTTTTCCCTGTGTTGAGGCAGGCTTACCCGAGGGCTGTGAGAATTTCGACTTGCTCCCTTCTATCGGACTGGCAGTGAACTTCTTCGCCGCAACTAAGATGCTTCAACCCCGAGTTGAGGAGTTGCTGAGGGAGCTGAAACCCTCTCCCACCTGCATAATTTCTGACATGTGCTTTCCATGGACAACCAATGTTGCCCACAACCTTAACATCCCGCGAATTGTTTTTCATGGGATGGGTTCTTTCTCCCTCTTGTGTCAGCACAAGTTAGGGAGCTGGAGTGGTCTTGAAAGCATGGAGTCTGATTCCCAGTACTTTGAAGTGCCTGGACTGCCTGATAAGATTGAACTCACCAAAGCTCAGGTCGGTAACATGCTTAATCCGCCGTCCCAGGAATACAAGGAGTTTCTCAAACAGCTGAAAGATGCAGAGGATAGTGCTTATGGGGTAGTGGTAAACAGCTTTGAGGAGCTGGAACCAGAATACATCAAACAGTTGAGGAAAGAGAAGGGGAAACCAGTTTGGACCATTGGCCCAGTTTCTCTGTACAACAAGGTGGAATCAGACAAGGCTGAGAGGGGAAACAAGGCCTCCATTGATAAGCACCAGTGCTTAAGATGGCTTGATTCCAAGGAAACCAGCTCTGTCCTCTTCGTCTGCCTTGGAAGCCTATCGCGCCTGCCAACTCTTCAGATGATGGAGCTTGGGCTTGCCCTCGAGTCATCAAACCGCCCCTTCGTTTGGGTTATAAGGCACATGTCCGACGAGTTCCAAAACTGGCTCCAACACGAAAAATATGAGGAAAGAGTTAAAGGGCAAGGCCTCATCATCTACGGCTGGGCACCACAAGTACTAATCTTGTCTCACCCTTCCGTAGGGGGATTCTTGACTCACTGTGGATGGAATTCGACCCTGGAAGGGATAGCTTCCGGCTTGCCATTGATAACTTGGCCATTTTTTGCTGAGCAATTCATGAATGAGAGGTTAGTAGTGAATGTGCTCAAAACTGGAGTGAAAGCTGGAGTGGAGTTCACAGTCATGTTTGGAATGGAGGAAGAGACAGGTGTCCAAGTGAATAGAGATGAAGTTGCTTTGGCTATTGAGAAGGCGTTGGGTGGAGGAGAGGAGGCTGAAATGAGAAGAAGAAGAGCTAAAACACTTGGAGAAATGGCTAAGAGAGCAGTGGAGGAAGGTGGTTCATCTCACCTCAACATTGCCAAACTAATTCAAGATGTTGCAGAGGAATCAAATACTATGAAACCAGTCTGAGACTATATATATATATATATATAATGTTTCCATTTTCATTTATATGTCACATTTCTTGTTGCAATGAAAACTTCTGTAACAGAATACCATTTCATTGCAAAGATTTGTGGGTTCAGTATCTGCTTACAATGCTACAAAATCATTGCTTCTGAAAAAGTTGCAGCTATATTAGATGATAGTGGATTATCATAATCCTTTTGCATTGAGAAAGAGAGACACATGCCTTGACTAGCTAGTTCAGATGGTTCTACTGATCACCGACCTCCACTATAAATTTGGAGTCATTGAGAGGCGATTTTAACCAATCAGAGGAGATTAAGACTCATTATGCTTAGAGTGTACAAATAGGGGTTGAACTTGGTAGTCTTTATATTGGAAATTGGGGATATGCATACATAACGTATGCATAGTAAGAAATTTTATTGAAGCACTTGGATGCACATTTGAGGGTGCACATGAGTTTAAACATGCAGAGCTTATTTTGGATCCATGATTTGGACTCTTGCACGTGAGAAAGCTTTCTAGTAGCACATTTCAACACATTTCAAATTCGGAGTGTTTGGTAGTGTAAAATTGTAATTCCATTCTTACCATTCCATGGTTTGGTTTGAGAGAATTGTAATTCCAGTTTCAAGTGTTGCATCTGAGTCTGTTTTTAGCACTTCAGGCCGTATTTTAGACCAATATCGGAGTTCTTTGACATCGTATATGGTAGAGGCATTGATTTTGACACAAGATTGGTTACGGTCTTCACTCCAATCTAATGCAGCAGGAAGCCTCATTCAAATATTAGAAGAAACTGAGTTTATGGATTTGTTTGTAGAAGGTGAGTGACAATTCTATATTTTATTATGAATTTATGTATAATATATACTATATTAGTTTATGCTTCAATATTTTATTACATTATCTTGTTTTTTTTTTCTTTTGTTTTGTTGTGCAGAGATCCGCAAATCAGCAGGGCAACATCATGATATTGATCCGTGATAATGGAGGAACAACTGAACAAGATATGACTTTGGAATTTGGATTGCTATATTGATTGTGTTTGAATTGTTATGTTGGTATCTAATATTTATATATTAGACTTTGGATATGGGTTATGTGATGTTTCATATATGTTTGTAATCTTTGAACATTGGATTTGAACTAGGGTTGGGCATTTCAGTTTCCGGTTCGGTTTTTTTCGGTTTCGATTTTAAAAAAAAAATTAAACCATTCGGTTTAACAATAGAGTTCGGTTCGGTTTGAAAAAGTTCGGTTCAATTCCATTTTGGTGGAAGTCCACTATTTGAACATTTTTTTTTTTGCCTGACCGATTGTTCATTGGCTCACTTGGAGTGTTTTGTTGATGACAAGATAAAGAATCATCCATCTACATAGTTAATATTTGAAAAATAAGAATTATTAAAACACCAAATGTTGGGACTTACGACTTAGAGTTGAGGTCTGAGGACTTAAGGAGTTGAAATTATTAATTATTATAATATTTATATATAATACTAACATTTTGTACGCGTGAAAATTTATGTCTAACAATAAAAAATTGATAAATGCAAATAATTACATGTTATAGTTCAAATTATATTTCGCAATTCCTTAAAGTAATAAATTTTAATCGTATATGAAAACTATAGAGATGAATAAAATTTATATTTTGTTTATTAATAATGTAAACAATTTTGATATAATTTATACTTTATTTTTACAATAAATAAATAAAATATTTATAATACTAATCTAGTACCCAGTCACATATATTGGTGCATATGTGCGCCTATATATATACCCATCCATTTTTAAACCTAAAATTAATGTCTGACAATAACAATGGACATTTTGGATTGTATATGACTTCCGGAAAATGTTTTCTGGAAAATGAGTTATTTTCTGAAAAACATTTTCTTTTCTCGTGTTTGGCTGCAAAGCGGAAAACTGTCTTTAGTGTGTTTGGTTCATTTTCTGGAAAATGGGATAGAATTATATAGTTTATATAATTAATTATTTTATTTAAAATATAAAAATATTTATATTTTTGAAATCAAATAATATACATAAATAAAGTTATTAAAAATTAAAAAAAAAAAGAAAAAAAAAAAAGAGACGGCGAAAACCAGAGAGTAGTACTCTCTGGTTTCCGGCTAGAAACCAGAGAGCACTTCTGGCCGGAAACTAGAGAGCACTGCTCTCTGGTTTCTAGCCGGAAATCAGAGAGCACTGCTCTCTGGTTTCCGGTCGGAGATGTCCGACCGGTGCTCGCCGGAAAACGTACGGTCACAAATCCGAGAACCAAATCCCATGAGGAGAGAACAGTGCGCAATAGGTGTTGGTGAAGTTGTGGAAATTTTTTGGCCAGAAGATGAGAGAACAAAGAATGGAAAATGACTTCCCCCAAAAAAAAGGGGAAGTCATTTTCCGGAAAAGAGGCTTCATTTTCCATTGACTATGTGGCATTTTCCTTTGACTTCCATTTTCCTTGCACAGCCAAACACCAAAAACTCGGAAAATGATTTTCAGAAATCATTTTCCGGGTTTCCAAACACACCCTAATTCCCATGTATACTAAACATTGGAATTGAAATTCTAGTAATTCTATTCCTGTAAACCAAACACTGGAATTTAAATTCTCACTTTATTCCCAGTAATTCATTTCTCATGGAATCACAATTCCATTCTCACGTAATCCCCCCCCCCCCTCCCTCCCTCCCTCCCCCCCACAACCAAACGCCCCGTAATAGTCAAGGGTTCAAACCTCATCTTGGACATTTAGTATATTATATATCTATTATATTATAAAAAAAAAAGAAAAAAATTGATCGATTTTTCGGTTCGATTTGGGTTTTAACCGAACTGAACCGATCGGTTTCCTTAAATTGAGTATCGATTGGTACTTTGGTTTAAGACCGAACCAACCGGTTCGGTTCGAAAATGCCCAGCCCTAGTATATCTGTTATTAAAAAAAAAAAAAAGATCCGTTTTCGGTTCAAACCCGAACCGATCGGTTTCCTTAAATTGAGATCGGTCTCGGTACTCGGTTTAAGACCGAACCGAAATGCCCTGCCCTAATTTGAACTATGTGATGCATGTTTCGTGTTTGTAATGTTTGAACATTGGATTTGAACTATGTGATGCTTTGTAATTAATTAATACTTAGTAGTATGTTTGAATTTTGAATTGCTATTTTGTTATATAATGTTTAGATTTTGGATATGGATTATGTGATTATGTATTATTTGGTAGTATGTTTGGAACATTAGGAAATGTTAAAATTTGGGATCTTAAACCGAACTCTAATGTTAAACCGAATGATTTAATTTTTTAAAAAACCGAAAAGTCGAAACTGAAAAAAAACTGAAACGAAGCCCGAAACGCCCACCCCTAGTCCTCCCTCTTAGGAATTGCAATTCCACACATTGTGGAATTGTAATTCTATGGTAAATGACTATTTTACCCTTATTATTATTATTATTATTATTATTATTATTATTATTATTATTATTATTATTATTATTATTATTATTATTATGCAAGGACATTTTAGTCTTTATTAACATCTTTCCTTTCAATTTTTCCTCATTATATTCATGTCTACCCAATGTAATTTAAATTCACACTTTATTGTTTTCTCACCGAATTAGTACAATTCTTTTTCCCCATAATTGTCTCCTACCTATCAAACGTGCACACAAAGGATAAGGATCGGAGTTTGAAATTTGTTTATGCTCGACAAAAGCTATTTTAACGCTTTTCGAAGCTTTTTTCCTAACTTTATGAGTATAATTTGAGAATCAACTTCCCATTCAATCATTATATGTTTGGAGAGTATAAATATACAAAAATTATCTCTTCAATTAAGAAAGTCCAAATCTACACGTCATTTTTATGCTAATTTTTCAACCCATATAAATACATATTATAATGTATTTTCAGGATATGATAACTAATCGAAAGAAATAAATATTATCATATTATTCATTCGCTCCATTTTCTACCTCACATATTGATCAGAACACCTAATAACATAATCATAAGACATATCTCCAACATACATTCATATATATTGATCAGAACACCTGAGAGCAGTTCTGGTAGCTTTAAAGCAGCAAAATGTGTAGTATGGAGTGGAATTTTTACGCTGAAAGAAGTGAAAGTCATTGCAATTCGTGAAGCTTTAAACTGTTTGAAATTCCAGAATCTTGATATTGTTCTCGTGAAATCTAATGCACTCCAAGTGGTTCATCACTTTAGTAATTTGATATTGTTTAATGGATGAGGTTTCACATTTTGATATTGAGGTTTCACATTTTGATATTGTTTTGCTTGATATTAAAGATATGATTCATCACTTTAGTAATGTGCTTATATTTTGTGTTAAGCAATTAAGAATCATTTACTTTATTAGGGCTCTGTATTCTAGGCACACTAGAATTCATTCTTCCTCTGGCACTATATTATTAGGAATATTATCATTTATTATTCTTATTCTGACCGGAACTCTTTGTATCCTTATAAATATATCTCTTCATCATGTACTTTAAATCGTCATGGTTTGATCATCTGATATCAGTAGACCAAATGATCCATGGCTAAAAAAAAAACAAAAAAACCACCGTTACCGTCACTAACCCCGCCGCCAGCGGCCGACGACACCACCTCCTCCTCTTGCGTCATCTCCAAGATTGCTTATTCAACCCTAGCCTTGATAAATACCCCATTATTCAACCCTAGCCCTGATAAATACCTCACAAACAGCCCATCACTTTATCTCCATTAAACTTACTTCCTCAAACTATATATTTAGTATGGAAGACTCAATTGTTCCCTTTCTCCGTGGTAAAAATATCAGTGGATACATTAAAGGCACATTTTAAAAGGCACGCTTCTATGTCCGGCTTTATTTATTAAGGCTCCGGATGAGTGTCCTATTGTAGCGCAGCCGCGATCTAGATGAGTATCCTATTGTAGCTGTACTCTAGATGAGTGTTCCGTTGTAGTCGATCCTGCGGGCGAAATTTTGGTTCGTCAGGATTCTTTTATTTTGTTCGTGACAAAGTAGCATAAAAGGAAACTACATCTCTACAAAAAGACCAACTGGCAGGCATCTAGATAACCTTAACCTTGAGGGGCGTATTAGGACTTTGTATTGTAGGCCTACTAGAATTCATTCTCTC